TGCGGAAAGTCTGCCGATGGGAACATCTAATACGAATGTCCTTTTTTTAACGATAACGAGGATGGGAAGGGATCCGCGGATCAGGAAGCCGCGCGGTTAGCAGGCAGCTTTAGAAACATCGTTTCCAAAATTTGGCTTGGTCGTTCCTGCATAGGGAAAAGGAAACCGAATTTCCTGGATGGTTTCGATGGAGCAAAGAAGTTGCTCCGGGCTCTGTCAGACGAGATGCAAGCTGCGATGGCCGAGGGGCGAAGGCCCCTCGAGAACGAGAGGACTGAGAGGACTTGGGCGCCGTCCCACGCAACGCCTTCGTGGACGCAGCCTCCGGGAGAGCCCGCGGCGAGGAGCGCAGAAAGCGGCGTGGGCGCGCGGGGTGTGGGGGAGAGGGTAGGCAGCCATGCGACGTGGGAAAGCCTCGGGTAGGAAGGGGCGGGCTGGGGCCACGCTGGGGAGGAGCTGCGGCCAGACCGGAGATCCCGCCCGCCCGCCCGGAGCTGGGGAAGCGGCGCGACTGGAGCGCCGGGGAGCCGGGGCGCAGGGGAGCCGGGGAGCTGGCGAGCGCTCTGCTGGGAAGAGCGCGCCGTCGGGCTTACTGGAAACGCGCCGGCTCAGGTTCCAGATCAATGAAATCTGGGTCCACACGTTTACGTTATTGTTGCCAGCATTAATGCTCTTTTAATCTTCTAAACATTATCAGCATCGATCTCCCTCCATATACACATTTGTTTGAGAAAGTGACATAACCACACGGTGGAAAGCCTGGAATAGAAACAAATGCGCAGCCTCTCGCGTGGAGGGCACCCGGCGGCCTGGGGTCCTTCTGGAGCTCGGCTTCTCCTCGAGTCCCGCCTCCTCGGCCTGCTCCCGCCCACCTAAGGCGCGTTAGGAAGGTGTTCTCCAGGCCTCCCGGACTTGACCAAGCAAGGACAGTAGCGAGCTTTTCAATTATTAATCCGAGCAGCCCGCAGGCGAAAATATGTGTTCCGTACCGACGTGGGCTGCGTTCGGCCTCTCGGTCTCGGATCCCTAACTAAACTGCCTGAGAGATCGGCTGAGCCGGGCGGGAGCCGGACCAGTGGGAGGGGAGGTGGGGTAGGGGGCTCTGCGAATGAGGTCCCCGCCCCTGCCCTCGACTTAGGAGATACCTGTCGGCCAGCGGAGCCTAAGACGTCCCCGGCACCAAAGAGACACGCACACACACACACACACACACACGCGCGCGCGCGCGGTGCCACGGCAGAAGCCGCTGCGCTCTGCCCCGGCCATGCTGCGCCGCCGTGGCCGTCAGGTGGCCCAGGCGACATCCTGGACAGTTGGTTAAGGGCCCTCGGCGGCCTGAACAGAGTTGGCTCCAGACTGGCCCCTGGGAGTTGCTGCCTGAAGAGGACCGTGCGTCTGTCCGCAGCGGAGACAGGAGGCAGGTTCCCCGCAGGCCGCCCTGGAAGCCCGGGTCCCAGGAGGCGGAAACCTCGGCAGGGTATGTCGTCAGGGGCTCTGCTCCGTCTTTTGGGCGTTGGAGGAAACCACTCCCCCCCCAAAAGGTCTCGATTTTCCTCCGCGGGGCGCCTGTGCAGGTTCTTGCCTGGGTTCTCTCAGGCCCTCCTTGTAGGTGTTTGTGCTTGGTTCAGAGGCTTCTTGAGCTCAAAGCCTGCAGGTTTGTGCTCGAACCCGGGGGCGTTTGTCCTCGCCGCCTGTAGGGCGGTTAATAAAAACCGCGGACCAGGCCCGACCGGGCGCGGTTGCAACCACCTGCTGCCAGCGCCACCCTTTCTGAACGAAATCGTGCACTTGGAGTCCATTTCTCTGAAATCTAATGTTGGGTCAGTCTGAAGTTCCCCGACTCCCTTCCCCTTTCAAATGCTACCCAGGGCTGTGGGTGCACCGAGGCCAGCAGGAAGGAGAGCCATGGGACGCGGGTGGGAGAGGAGAGGAAGGACCTGCTTCGGTCGTGACGGGGTGTGCTTCACCTAAGGGTGAGGTTTGCGGGCGCTGGCCCAAATCAGACAGCTTAATTGTGTAGTCCCTCAAACCCCTGTCTGCTTGGGCCTCTGGCAAGACCTAGAGGGGCCCAAAATGAGGAAAAAGAGGGCAACTAAAAGGAGATTAGGAGAGAGAGAAAAGAGGTCTGGTCGGGGCGAGTTGGGGGTGCCGGCGCCGTCTCTTCGAGGCGCAGGGCTGGGAGTGGGGGCCAGCCGCCCTGGCGACCCACTGGGCTTGTTTAACCCCCGGGGCCGAACGGTGTGGGTCCTCAGCGGCGACCCGGCGGGGATTCCGATCGATACTCCTGGCAGAGAAGGCCTCTGCTTTTCTTCTCCATTTGCTCCTGTCGCCTAGCGCTCCTGAGCACATAATACCTACTTACCAGTCCCAGCTTCTGCGGCAGCTTCTGAAGAGACTGATCTCCTGACCCCAAACTGAAAAGCCTCCTATGTAATAATAACCACTCAACACTCTTGTAGTTGCTGATAAAATGGCCAGATAAAAAGGCTAAAGCTCTTGTCCCTTTTCAACTCGGGGTAATAAAACAGACACACATTTGAATGCTTGGGCAAAGCGGGGTCCTCAGCAGGAATTTCCCGCTCGCTGAAGGGGGCTGTCAGTCTCCCGCGGAGGCGGATTCAGTGCTCCTCCTCGGAAAAGCCCGGTACTCCTGAGGCCAGCCCCTGAGGAGTCGCCCCGGGGTAGGTGGTGGGACAGGGAAGCCCCAGGATGCCATATTCTCCCTCATCCCAGAAATGTTGAGGCCCGTGTAAAAGCTGAGACGCCCTAACACGTAAAGCGTTACCTTCCACATCACTTTCAGACGTACATAGGCAGAAGGCACGTGTTTTCTAAAAGCTGTGTCCTTTGCGCGACAGGCGTGAGGGGGCGGCAGCGCTCTGAGATGGGCTGGAGTAGAAGAGCTGTCATCCTGCATTTAACTGTACCCCCCCACCCCGCCGCAGGCTGCCACGTTCCTTCCGGCCGGCCGGCCCCAGGAAGCCAGCCCGTGCTAGAACTCGCCCGAGAGGAGCTCGGGGAGTTTTGGGGGCCTAAGACAATGGGGTACCACAATGATGGGAACTGTCAGTAAGCCTCCAGTTTATTTCTCACCGCTACTCTCTATTCACTGCTTAAACTTTGCTAGGAACCAAGAGCAAATCAGAGAAAACTGTAGGAGAGGATGAAGAGTAAGCTAAAGGAGGAGGAGAAGGTAGATTTCTAAATCCACGCAGAAGTATTTGAGTCCACCTACTTCAGGAAGCTCTTTCAGGGGAAAGCTAGTTTTCTTTACCTTTTCAGATCAACACTGAGGGGCAATTACTGACTGGAAATCGGAATCCTCCAACAGCAGGCAAAGGCAGAGGCTGTCAGAGCGGAAGCGCTCGCTCCCCAAGCCTGGGTGAACACGTTGCTTGTCACAGCTCCCAGCTCCAACAGCCGTCAGTGGAATGGACCCCATAAGACAGGCTCAGCGGTGCGAGGAAAGCCCCAAGGGAGCGGGAGAGGAAGCCTGCGCTCGCCGCTCCGGAAGCGCGTTGTGTGCTGCCAGCTCGGAACCGCGCGTGTCCCACTACCTGCCCCTACGTAAATCACTGCCACCGTGAATTGTCCCCCAGAAAGCCCGCCGATCCGGAGAGGTCGCCCCAGTGCAAGAGAAGCTGCCCATCTCGGCTTGCACTAGGTTACTGTATGTCCTCCCTAGCGGGGCGCCTGGACACTTTGTCTCTCTTGGCCCGCGGCTCAATCCTGGGGGCAGCGCAACTGCCACGCGCACTGCACTGGGTCTGTGCGCACAAAAGCGCACAACTGCTTGCCAGTCGCAGCCACTGCTGCGTCTTTCTCTCTGGCTCCCGCCGCCCACACAGGTTTCTGCGCTCCTAGAACAATAGAGGGCTGTACCTCGCGGCTTGGCCGCTAGAGGAGGCACAAAGAGCCAAGCCGGCTGCAGAACAATGTAACCAGCGCGTCGACCCGTCCCCTCCCGCCGGCCGCGAGTTCTCCTCGCCGCCGCGCTACGCGCGCAATCAGCGTCCGCTTAATGCAAAGGCGGAGCCTGCAGCCCGCGGCCAAGATGCATTAACTAACCTGCATCTTAATTTCTCAGCACCTCCTCCCGCGAGCGCCTAGCCTCTACCCGGGGCGAGCCAAACCTCGGCAAATCCCAGCAAACGCTGGGAGCAGGGCAAGGGCGGCCGGCGAGTAAGGCAGGGCGCTCTCCACTCCTAGTTTCTTCTCTCCCGTCTTCTCAAAGAGGTGAATGTGGCAGTCCCAACCTTCGCCCTTGTACCCTCCTCTCCCTATGCGCAGTGACACGGGAGCTGGCCCAAGCCCGCTCTTTCCGTCAGAAAGTCCCCGCGCCAACGCCAAGGCCGGAGATGAGCTCGGGAAGCGCTGTTGTACACTGGCCACCCGTTCCCCACACGGGCAAGGCTGTGACTCCTGCCAATGACCAATGAAGTTTGGCTGATATGGTGGGTAGGAGAAGAGCAGAGAGAGCTTTTTCCCTTCTGAAAGGCAAAGCCTCTCAACTGCCTCCACTTAGGAGACTAGTCAGCTTTGAAAACTGAAAGGTGTTGTCTAAACAAGAGTTCAAGTGCACGGGGTTTTGACTAAGGGCAAATCCCGGTCCCTGTGAGTCCTGGAAAGAGAGGGCTCCTAACGGACACCACGCACCCCCATCCCGCCTCCCACAAGTGGGGAGGGTCGGAAAGAGAGGGCAAAGTTGGCCCATTGAGGGGAGGGCGAATGAAATGGGGGGGGGGTCGGTCAGCGAAAGCTCGGAGACAAGGAGGAAGGAAAAGAAGTAAGAAAAAAGAGAAGAAAAGGGATAACAGAAAGAAGAGGAGGCGAAGAGAAAGAGGAAATGGAAGAAGACATATTATCGAGAAGAAATAGGAAGTGTGTAGGGGAGAGGAGGAGAGAACCAAGGGAAGTGGCTAGGCGCGCTGACCTGGGGCCACAAACACCCCGAAGCCGTCTCACTAGCAGTCTGGCTCCACGCGACCCTCTGGGCTTACCTGCCAGGCGTAAGGCGGACATGCGCTGGAACTCGGGCTCCTGCAGCCACTTCCACATCCTGCGGAAGGTCTCCCTGCCAGATTTGAGTTTACTCCACGGTTTTGGGTTCCGGAGCAGGTCGGAGAGTGTCCCCTGAGACCGGCACAGCACCCTCTGCGCGAAAATCGCCTGTGGGATGCTGTAGCGCTTCAGCTCTGCGGTGATGCGCTGGGCCACCTCTTTGGTGTTGATCTCCTCCAGCTGGCCCGATGTGGCCACCTGCGAGCCCGACGAGGACGAGGGTGGCCGTTCGCGGCTGGGCGCCAGCACGGGCCCATGGGACTGAGCGTGGCTCGGGTGGTGCAGGCCATTGAGGTGCGACATCATGGCCGCGGGCGGGGTGCCCAAGCCGCGGGACAGGTGCTGCTCACCGCGGGTCAGCATGGCAGTGTGGTGCGCGTCGAAGTTGGGGCTTAGCATTTTGTCGTGGCCCGGCGGCCCGTAGTTGGGCAAGCTCTGCTGCGCGTTGTGGAGGCCGCCTAGCCCGTTGCCCAGCGGCGTGGCAGCCAGAGGGGACAGGCTCTGGCTCATGCCTGGCATCTCCTTGTAGGGGCTGTAGAGGTTGTTCATGGCCGGGAGCCCGCGCTCATCGCGCATAAGAGTGAAGCTGCCGCTGACGTTGCCCGACAGGCGCTGGTGGTGGTGGTGGTGGTGGTGGTGCGGGTGGTGGTGCGGGTGCGGGTGGTGGAACTTGTCCGACACGGTGGAGATGGGCGGCAGAGGCTGGAGCGGCGTCAGCGTGGTATAGGTGTTGCTCATGCCCATGCCGGGCGGGGACGAGTCGCAGGACATGCTCATGGCGTGATGGAGCGGGATGGAGAGCTCGGGCCGGTAGTCACCGCCGTCCAGGATCGAGGCCATGCTAGTGACCATGGCCGAGCGCGACGCCGCCGCCGCTGCCGCTGCCGCGGTGCCCAGCTCCTGGTGCGCCGTTGGCGGCGGCGGCGGCGGGCCCCGCAGCGAGCCAGCGGCGCCACGGCCCGCGTGGTGGGGGCTGGGACTGGCCAGCAGCTCCTGCTCATGGCCCGGGCCCCCGCCGCCGCCCCCGCCGCCCCCGCCGCCGCCCCCGCCGCTGCCGCCGCCGGCCGGCCCGTGCAAAGTGCCCAGACTTTCCATTGTCAGCTCCGGGTTCATGGCGCAGCCTTCTAGGTCTTTGGTGAGGCATCGATAGGCGGTGTAGGCAGCCTTCATTCAGTCCATCGGGGCCCGGGGGCGGCGGGGGCGGCGGGGGCGGCCGGCGGGCTGGCAAGGCGCGCGTGGCGGAGCTCGGCCGCCGGAGCTGGGGAGGGCGCGGGAGTGCGTGAGTGTGTGGAGGGGGAGCGTGCGTGCGGGTGTGCGCCCCGGGCTGCGGGCGAGCGGGCTGGCTGGCGCGCCCGGGGTGGGGGCGGGGTGGGGGCGGACGGGGCGTGCGTGCGGGAGAGGGGAGGGGGCGGGGAGGGAGGGAGGGATCACCGGGCCCCGCCGCTCGGGCCGGCGCGCTGCCTCGCCATGTCCGAGCCCGCTCCGGCGCCGACGTCTTCTGTTTGGGTGAGCGGGAGCTGTCCAGAAGGGCTCTGCCGCTCGCCGGGGCAGCCAACCTACCCTCCCGGACCCGGGGCGGGGCAGCGCCCAATGGGCGCCTAGAGCAGCCACTCAGAGGCTCCGGCTGCCCCGGGGGGCGGGCCTCCTGTGTTCATCCACCAATTGCTGAGGAGGGGGCGGGGCCGCGCGTTTCACGTTTGGCTGACGGCTCTGTGCTTTTTTTTCCTCCTTTGCCACTGGAATCAAACGTCAAGGAGAGGGAGGGAGAGAAGGAGGGAGGGGAAGAGGGGTAGTAGGGAGAGAAGCGAGAGTGCGAGCTGAGGAGAGAAATTATGTTAAAGATGCCGCGCTGTGTCCCTCCCGAGCAGCTGCGATCTAGGGGAAAGGGCATTGCTTCGGTTCCCTGCGCCTCACCCCAAAGCTTTTCTCGAGGCTAGTAAGCCGGCTGAAGACTCCGCTACGTGCCGGTGTAAAAACAAACACGCGTCTGCTAGCAAGCCACTTCCCAAGCATCTCTAGCTGGAAGCCAGTAGTGTAGCTTTTTAAAATGCAGGCGCTAATATATTCTAATGCCGGGCAAATTCCCGAGACTGGGGCATGCATAATCTACCGGGCGAAAGGAACTCCAGCGCCCTCGCCACCTGCGAGCCTCGGCCGGCGGATACAAGCCCACAGGCGGCGCGGGCCGTCGTAATGCATGCAAAGTTAACACAATAACATCATTTAATTACCCGGCGAGGCCATAAATCTTCCAGTTATGAGGCTTTCGAAGGTCCCTTCTAGATTGCAAAACAAAACTAGAACTCCCAGAGCTGCGATTTCAAGGTGACTAAATGCTTGCCCCATTAATGACTTATAAAAGGGGGGAGGGGGGTGGCAGGATTGTTGCAGATGCCTATAGTGAGCAAACTTATCCTAGGGACAGAGAGTATGTAAACCGTCTGAGACGACACCCGCGGATCTTTCCCCTAATACACACACACACACACACACACACACACACACACACACACGCTTTTCTCGAATCCCAGGAGAGGAACGCCCCGGGTTACGACTGTGGGTGGAAGACATGGAGCCTCGGCCAATACCTGTATATTCAAACCTTGTTTCCGAAAAAACAGAGCCCTGGCGAGTTCTAGAACGCTGGCAAGCTGCAGCTTTAGAAAGTGCACCTTCGCGTACCCAGAATTTCCGTTGTTTGGTAACCCCTGGTCGGGGACTGAGAGTGGATCGGGGTGGAGAGGAGGTGGAGATTTCCGTGGCCCGCGTCGGGGTGGAGGGGTGGTTGAAGACAGAGAGCCACCCTGCACTGAAAGCCTTAAAAGTAACAGATTCTTCCAAAGCAGGTTGCGCTCTGTTTGCCTCCGAAGATTCAAGCTAGCTGAGGTTGCGCAGATGTTGCCTTTGTTTAAAGAGACAGTAATTAAGGACAGGGTGGACATAAGTTTGAGAAGCGTGACCTATTTTCTTTTGATCAGCTGTCAAAAGAAGAGCAGGGGGTCTCCTTAAGACTGCCCCCTCCAACCACTTCCAGCTGTTAGAGAAAACTTGATAAGAAAACAATGACACAGACTGGAATACTGTATGTGCCTTCCTGGCACTGGAGAAAGGTTTAATTCATTTGGAAAACAGTTCTTAGTCTCCGTGACCTTTTATAGCTGCCCTCCTTTCTCCTCTAGCTGCAGAGCAAAAAGATCCACCCCCCCACCCACACCATCCTGTCACATGAATGTATGGTGGTTATTCATAGATCAACTTTATTGAGCTCTGGCCAATTACTCTTTCAAATAGCTTCTTCTCTGTGATATCAAAGCCTGGGTAAGAAAGTGGACAATCCCCTGCTTTGCTAGACAGACTTTTCTAGCATCTCACATCTTTAATGTCACAACACTAGACAGGTAAAATAACTCAATGTTCTGTTTCTCGGCCTGTTCTCTCCTCCTCCCCCTCTCCTACTGTCTTTCTTCTTACTTCCCAACTTATACATGGCAGCTGGACACTTGGGATAATTTGAAACAGTTAATGTTTGAAATACACACCAAGTTGAACAAAAGTTCACAAGAGTGCAACCTCCTGTTGGTCCAGGAGTGCTCAGAAACCGAAATAGGGCAGGAGAGGAGCAAGGCTGCGGAAGAAGTTGGTCTGCTGTGTCCCAGTGCTGAACACAGACTCCTCTGCCCTGGCTTCAGGCTCAAGGAGTGGCCAGTGACGCCAGGCTGGGACATCGGGTAGGAACAGCCTCCATACAGAAACTTAAGTATATAAATTGCCTTTTAAATATTTTTTCAAAATGATAAACTCATTTACCAGGCTACCAAGATAAATCTGCTCCTGGGAATTACATTTCAGTGTGCCTGGGAGGAGTCACGTGCTGGGGAGTTGAAAGGTGAGTTGCATATTCTCGCTGCCTCTCTCACTCTCTCCCACCCTCCCTCCCCCTTCCCTCGATCAATATTGGCGATCTCAGGGAAATCATGAAATCGTATTGGCTTCTTTGTGTATAATTTCATTGGGCTAGATTAAAGCAGCTTTTTCACGTTGTTTTTCTAATAATGGTTTGAGGTTTGTATTTCAACCCAAAACTCATTTAAAAGGAAAATTAAGGTGCATATTTAGTCAGCGTCCTGATTTTTACTGAATTAGGTTTGCATGCCCTTTCACTTTTTTTCTAAAAAGGAAAAATATTTATTTTCTACTTGAAGACAATTTTAAAAATATCAGTACTAATAAGATTTTCAAATATGTTTTGAAATATCTTTGATGTTTCTTTCTCTATAGTTCTTTAAGAAAATAAGAAGGAAGGGTAGCTTTCTACCTAAGGTTAACACATACCCTAACCCTCAGAAGTTCTGCGACTCAGAATTTTCTCTTTTAATTTGAAGTTACCGTCCTGTTTCTCCGTCCCCTCAGCATTTGATTCATAAATAGACTGTACAGAAATGTGGTAGCGGGAGTGCAGGTTGAGGACTATCAGAATCTGGACGAACAGTTGCACCAGCCATTGTATCTAGAGGAGGATATCCATTTCTTAGCATACCACATTCACAGGTCCAATTTCCCTCAAGAGCAGACACTTAAATTGGTCAAAAGAAACCTGTAAATAAAATGCAGCTTTGACAACCAATGTAAGCTATTGCACTGTAAAAGAAAAGAAAATCTGAACTTGAGTTAGCAATTGCAGAAAAAGACTAAAAATTTTTACTGTCATAGCTTTTCATATGTGTGTTCACATTAAATTTTTTTTTAGGCTCTGAGAAGCAGAGAGAGGTGAACGTTCAATTAAAACAAAGACCCTATAAATTATTCACGAAAAAAATAAACAGACCACAAGTAAACCCAATCTGGATAAGGGGCCCCACAGCTTTGTTTTTACTAAACAACAGTAACCACAGCCCAAATTCAGGGAAGAGGGGGCTGCTTATTTCCACCCAAATGTTCAGAATCCTGAGGAAGGTTTTGTTTTGGGCTCAACACATTTGTGCTACAACTAGGTTTATCAGAACAATACAAAAAGACATAATGGTGGGTTGATTTGGACTATTTTATTTTTGTCCTTCCCCAAACCATCTGGCGTGTGAGTGTAGGGGTATTGATCAGGATCTGTGAGCTGCAGACCCCATGCCAATCCATAGCGTTTCTGGCAATCAGCGTCGCCCAGGAATTGCAGCTGTCTGTGCAGCTCCCGAACAGAAATCTTCAAAAAAGTCCCCTCCTTATCAAACACATCATCCGTTCAGGGGTAAGTCAATATCATTTCTTTGTCATTCCGTGAGCGAGGATTATGCAGGAGAAAGTTTTTGTTGTCTGTTGTAGCTGCTGCTGCGCCTGCCCTTTTTTTGTTTTTGTTTTTTTTAAAGGAAGGAGAGCAATTTTCTAGCCATTGAATGGTAATGGTTTTCCAGAAAGGCCTCAAGCATTGTATGAATCAGACAACAAATGCCGTTTCAATATTGTGGGGGAATTTTAAGAGGAGGGGGACATTCTTATGTTGCTATACATAAATAATAATAGTGGTAATAGAGAGTTCCTTTTAACAACGGAGAATTTTCTCCCCTCTTCTCGGAGCCCGTGGTGATGAAGACGCCGCAAGTCTCTGTGATTACACTTGCCGACGGACGGTGGGTGCTGATGGCGGAAAAGAAGCCTTCGGGATTGTGGCTCTGTTTGATATCTCCATTAGCTTCAATTTTCTTCTGCCTGAAAGCTCAGGCTGGTTGAGCACAGGGAGAAGAAAACTAAAACCGAAGCCCGGCCCCACTAACTCGCTTCGGCCTCTCAGCTCAGAATTTCACTAACACTTTTCAGATGCCAGTTGAATCTAGAAAAGTCCAAAAAAAAAAAAAAAAAGTTTTCTAGGTGGTCAAGTCAAACGGGTCCTTTTTCATCTCCCACCTCCTCCGTGTTGATCTTGTTAACATCTAAAACGCCAGGTTTGTTAGCAGAGCTGGCAGGGGACTGCCCTTAACTTTTGGGTTGACAAAGGACACTTTGCGCTGGGGTTGGGAAGGGAGAGTTGGAGTTTGTGTGTTAGTGTTCTTCCCACCCTCAGCTGGTCTCTTAGGAAGAGAAAAGTGAAGCTACCGGAGCCCTGCCCGCCGGGAGAGCGTTATCTGGAAGCCCCAAGCCCAGTCCTGGATTCGAAGGTGGGGAGTAGGGCTTCGGGGTGAACC